CCCCCCCCCGGTCTCCCCTTTTCCCCTCAACCCAAAATGCCGGGTGCGCTCAGGGTCGGCGGACCCAGCCACCGTTAAACGTGCAAATCACGGGACAGAGCGCTTCTGCTGCTGCTCTGCTGGCGCCTCCCCCCTCCCCGCGAGGCAGAACCTCGGCAAAACCTTGCCACGAGGAGGAAGCATGTCTGCATGTGGATGTCGTTTCTTGAGTTTCGACGGATCCGTTTGTAACGTCGCCCTTTGTTTTGTGTTGCAGAGGGTTCCGGGAGTCATCTCAACCTGTTCAACTCGAGGCAGCAGCCGAAGAAGAAGAGGAAGTCACGCACCGCCTTCACCAACCACCAAATCTTCGAGTTGGAGAAGAGGTTCCTCTACCAAAAGTACCTGAGCCCCGCTGATAGGGACGAGATCGCAGCCGGGCTAGGCCTCTCCAACGCGCAGGTCATCACGTGGTTCCAGGTGAGTGAGAGCGAGAGTGCGTGTGAGAGAAAGAGAGAGAGAGAGAGGGAACAGAGGCACGGAGGAACGAACCAAAGACCATAGCGTGCTCCCAGTCCAGTAATGCTTTGTGACGACTGGCAGCTGACTCGTATACATTTCTACGTGTGCGAGTCCTCTCTGGCCATCGCGCCTTACGGCCCGATTGAGTAGGCAATCCAATCCACCCGCACCTGTGCACTCTGTGCAGTCTAACTGAAAATGGGCAGGCAATTACGGCTAGTGCAAACGGGCGGTAGGTGCCATTCGTACACTTAAGAGAGCAATGGTGTGAAGTTTTCCTTGAAAATTCACACACTTGTGCCTCCATGTGTACGAATGGTGTTAACACACCTACCAAAGTGCGACGTTCACACACTTAAGTTTCCGGTGTGCTTTTGTCCGTTTTTGACTCATACGCACCAAAGTTCAACGGCCTGTTTGCAGACATTCATACTGATATCAGCCGCCTGCTATGTATTTTAATTGTACTTTGATGTCGACTGTGATTGTTTCTTTTAAGACCTAGAGAAGTGTTCGATTTCCAAACGGGTCGAGACACAGCATTGAAGTGATTATGTAACTCGCCGTGTCATGCTTTGAGGCGGAATCTCTTCACACTCGAATGGCTTCCTCCTGCATTTTTTCCCTCTGGTCGTTCTCGTCTTTTGGGGAAGCTGACGCTTGTGCTCGCGAGCATCAGCTGTTCCGTTTTTGCCTACGCCTGCCTCTCGCGTTTCGACGTGGATTTAGCGAGAGAGCGGATTTCAACTGTCAAACATATTTCCTAATAGTCTCATCTTGTTTCCAGAATCGGCGGGCCAAACAAAAGCGAGAGATTCTCTAGTCGACGGTTTAGAGATGTGCTGCCGATTCCCTTTAATTTTCCAATGTCGAAAACCGATCCTCGCTAAATACACGGTGTGTTCTCAATAAAATTGATTCGAAGGATTTTAGCGGCCTTGGAGGAGACAACTGTATCAGGAACTAACTGGTGTCCTTTTTTTGTCCTTTCCAGAATCGACGGGCGAAACTAAAGAGGGACATGGAGGAACTGAAGAAGGATGTGGAGTCAGCCAAGGTGCTGACGGCGCACAAGTCTTTCCTGGAAAAGGTCCACAGCCTGGGCGTTCTGAAGAAGAAGGCGCAACCTCAGGAGAAGCCCCCCGTGCCCGAAAAGTGATAATTGTGTGTCGATGAAATGTGGTGCTAAAAGAAACTCGAGTGACTGTCCCACATTCCTACTGTGGCCACCCACCTCTGCTGAGCCCGTGCGCCCTCTTCCTTTGATTTGCGATCGCTGGGGGCGCCACCGGCAGCCGCTCTCCAGAGAAGTGTGCAGGGTGCGAACAATATGAGTTTGTGTTCGAGATCGAGGATGTCGGTGCTTTTGTGCGCTATTAGTTACCAAAAAAGTATTTAAAAAGATATATATTGTGAAAACTTGCCCTGTTTACCAAAAATTATGTGAAAAATCTTAGCTGAGTTGTGCTTGCACGCGAGCCCTATCTGTATGATAAAGTTTATGTATAGAAAATGTCGTCGTAGCGGATGTGGTGTGTCCGCGGCGCCTTGTAACTTTGTTCCTGTAAACGGCGGTGGATTTTAATCCATGCGTTACTTACATCAGGTGTTCTCAAGCGAGAGACGTGAGGGCGTGGTTTCCGTAATAAGTCAGGTGGAGGAAATCGCTTTCGCACGTCTGTGGTTCCATTTGCTTGCAGTTTTTTTTCCGTCATTTTTAAGTTTTCCAGGACAAACATATTTGTTTGTCACTGTATTTCAAAGACTGCACAGTTTTGTTTGACGAAAGAAAACAGGGAATCGATGTATTTCCGTTCGCGAATTTACTTTCACATGAAATGGAACCAGTTGTATTGTACACTTTTGTAGATCTCACCTATAGATTTAGTTCCTATTTGTCTACGTTGCCATGTACATAATGTCTAAAGAGTGAATATTGTACAAATAGGATTCATCGATGTGTACAAAAGAGCGGCACAGTTTTTAGCCCACATTAAAATGTCTTTATTTATAATCTTAATTCTGTACATTTGACTTAGATTTGAAGGCTGTCAAACAGTTTGCTTTTTAGAGGGTGCTTCAGATCATGTCCATAGCTATTTTGAGTTGATGTTATTCCAACTCTTGTGATATTTTATTTAATACGCAACGCTCGGCGTCTTGGATTATAAGGCGCCAATGTTTCTTCTGATTCCCGAGATACTAGGTCTCAAAAAGGTCAATTTAAAGCTATCTGTCCAAATTTTTGAACTTGTATAATGATTAGTTTTTTTAGTATTTTAGGTTCAATACTTTGACCGTCTGTGATTTTTTCCCTTGGCCCCATATTATCCAAATTACGGTTTGTTCATCATTAATTCTGTTAATTATTTATTTCATCTCAAATTGGTCAGTACCGTTATTATTGAAGTAATTTTTTGCCAAATAACGAGCTCATTGTAAATTTCATTGTAATCTTTAACTCTGTGCATAATTTGCGTTGTGTATTATTAAGCGGCGATCCTGCCTTTGCCATCAAACCAAATGCTTAATGTGTATAACTTATACGTGTTGAAGGATCTTGCAACTATTGTGATCAATTGGAATATTATACGTTGCTCTAAATGAACTTGTGGTAGTCTAGTCCATATCCCTTTCCCTTCCAACATACCAACCACATCATAGACACCAGGATCGCGAAGAGAACTTTTCATCTTTCTAAATATCCCTAAATAAAAAGGTTATATATAGACGGAAAGCTATCGTAAAACATAACGTGAGAGAGATCGTCGCATTATAATTGCGCAACCAACTCTCCAGCAACCCCCCGAAACAAACTTGATATAAAGAGGCAGAGGCCTCTCTGCCAGCATTTCGGACTGGATTGACAAGTCGCCTTCTGACCGAGGAGGGCTCAGCCGTAGTTTACATTTTCGTTTACGTCCTTATTTTCTGGGTGCAGAAGTAGTGTGGATAGAGATAGAGTAGTTGCCCGCCTAAGAGATGGGCAACTCATCGTACACTAGCCGGGCCATCTGGAAGGTAGGCAAGACATCGCACACCCGCTGCCAGGGTGCGCTAGACGTCCCTGTTTGTAGCTACACGATTGTAGCTACAGCCGGCAGTGCCCGAGTCAGCTTAAACTGAACCGTCTATAGACGAATTCATTACTTCCGCCACTGCTAGAATATCAATCAGAGCGTTAAAAACTAAAGCGAAAACGAAATATATCAATGCCTCTCCAAAGCTCTCACCTAGTCCAAGCACACGGGAGGCAGGGGGCCGTGACGCGGGGGGCCCGATTCAGGAAAGCATTGCCTACCCTCCAGGCGTTTTCAGCGACAATCATCGACCCACGCCTAGATTGACAGGGCGTCACTTCTTAGCTTTTGAAAGGATTTATGAGTCT